GCACAAACTGAGCAGCCGCGTGTATCCAGGGAGGTTAGAGTTGCTGCCGGGACGATCTGCTCGAGGACGAGCATCGGCGCTTTTAGCTGGAAGTCTTGCCTGTCCATCTCGCTCCAGGTCTGCGGGCAGTCGGCATCCCGCGCGGCCGGGTGGTGATGCGCCAATGCCACGAGTTTGGAGATGTGGGGAAGAACAGCCTCGATGCGGCCGTGCAGGTCGGCCAGGTCCTCCAGCGTGAGGCTCCAGGTGCGGGCGAACTGGCTTCGGAAATCCAGGTGGACCTCTTGCCAGGGAACGCAGAACCCCAGAATGGCTTCGATGACGTCCCCGGCCTGTTCTGCATGAAAGAAGGGCCACAGAAACACTCGCGGTTCGCAGAGCATGAGCATCATGACAACCAGAAGTGACCGGGCCTTGCAGGAATCCATGGGGAGGCCGTCGGTGTCTGTGATTCCCTGGCGGAACTCTTCCATCGAGGCACCACGCCCTCGGAGGATCTCTCCCAACCCGGCCATTCCAGGGTGCCTCCTGTGTCGGCAGCAGTCCTTGGTAGCGGAACTCCAAGCCTTGGGGACCTTACGGAAGAGCCCTTTGGGGGTGGACTGGCGGCGCTTCCAGAGTGTTACACGCCTGCCGTTGGCGTGATGCAGCGGGGGAAGGGAGTCGTCAGGGACGGCGTAGCTCGCGTCCTGCCAGGGGGTGTCCAGGCCCAGCGACCACACGATTGCTGCCCAAAGCATGTTGTAGACTAGATTGGTTGCGTCGAGTCCCAGAGACATGTCAAACAAGAAGCCCAGATGCGACCAAGCCTTGCGGTCAAGCATGCCGGGCTGTCGCGGTGTATTGGCTAGTGAGAATTCGTGAGGGTGTAGCCCGGACATCAGGTATATGAGCACATGGAAGGCAGGCGTTGAGAGGATAGCGTGGAGCCCTCCCGAGATCAGTTTACCCAGGGTCTCCCAGTCGAAGTGCTCGTCCAGGGGTGCATTAAAGCGCTCAGCGAAACCGGTGGCCTGGGCATCACGTGCTTTCTTCTTGGCGGCATCCAGCTCGCTCTGCCCGTTCTTCCCCTTTGCATCACGGTTCCAAGCGACGGGCGAGGATATCCATGCAGCGAGGTCCTGGAGTGGGTCGAAGCTTTCGTCGATATCCAATGAGAGACTGTGGCCCACTGGGGCGTGGCCTCGAAACTGGACCCAAAGGCGGGTCAATCGCCCGTATTCTGAGAGTACTCGAAGCTGTGACCAGGTGGCGTTGGCGAACATGCGTCCGTCCCCCAAGATCAGGATGTCCCGCTTGGCCCTGGTGATCGCCACGTTCAGACGCTTGGCGTCATCGACGAAACCCCAATTGTAGCTCCCGTTGCTCCGTGAACAATTCAGGGGCGCATGGAGGGGATGCATGGGTACATGGATGTGGTGGATGTGATGAATGTGATGGATGTGATGGATGCATGTATGCATGGATGCATGTTCGCATGGATGCATTGTTGCCTGTATGCACGGATTCCTGGATGCCTGGATGCGTGCGTGCGTGCGTGCGGGCATCCGTCTCATCACCATTTTCCCATCACTCTCCCTCGCCACGCCCCGCATGTTGGCTTTGCGCGCGCGTGTCTGTGCGCGGGGTTCATTGCACCTTGATTGCACGTGTGCGCGATGTGTGCGCGTGCTTGTGCACTTTGGTGCGTGCGTGAATGCGTGCGCGCGTGTGGGCGCGGCTGCTTCGGATTGCGTGTGGGCGCGTGTGTGCGAGTCTGGGCAAAGCTGGATTTGATTATATTTCTTCGCACCCTTTTTTCCACGCGGACCCTCCCCCCACCCACGCCCCCCAAAAGGTTCAAGGACAGCAGCGCCCATGGGGGTAGCAGGCCAACGTTTGGATTTGTGTGAGGTTCACGCTCCGCTGGATTGCCCAGGATCTCAGATAGTGGCGGCAGTTTCTACATGTGGCAGGTCCCAAGGGTAGCGGGCCATCGTTTGGATTCGCGTGGGGCTCACACCCCGCTGAATTCCCCGGGATCTCAGATAGTGGCGACAGTTCTACATTTGGCAGCTCCCAAAGGTAGCGGGCCATCCTTTGGATCGGCGTAGGGCTGACGCTCCGCTGGATCCCCCCCAGGAGTTCAGATTCTTGCGACACTTCTACATGTGGCAACACCCAGAGGATAGCGGGGCATCATTTGAATTCGTGTAGGGATCACGCTCCGCTGGATTCTCCAGGAGATCAGGTACTGGCACAGTTCTACCGTTGGCAGCATATACATTTGGGAACACTCATGGGACATCTTTTGGACCCGCGTAGGGGTCACATTCCGTTGGATCCCCCAGAAGCTCGGGTATTGGCTCAGTTCTGCATCTGGCAACACTCAGGGGATAGCGGGGCATCGTTTGTATCCGCTTGCGGCTCACGCTCCGCTGAACCCACCAGGAGTTCAGATGCTGGCGACAATTCTACATTTGGCAACTCCCAATGGCTAGCGGGGCATCGTTTGAATTCGCGTGGGGTTCACGCTCCAATGGATTCCCCAGGAGTTCACAGAGTGGCGACAGCTCTACTTTTGGCAGCTCCCATGGAATTGCGGGGCATAACAGCTGAGAAGGGGACCGCTCGCGGCACGACGTCACTCGGCGCGAACCCAAGGACACAGGCGACGGGGTGCCCTCCCTAAAATGGCGGCCGGCGCCGCCTCGTTCGGCGGCGGAGATCCGCGATTCTATGCCGTCACGCTGGTTCCGGGCAGGCTGTGCTGCCCGGCGGAAGGGGACGAGGAGGGGAGAAGCAGGCAGACGACGACGAACGCCCAGGCGGGGAGCCAGGGCCGGCGGGGCGGGCGGGCAGGCAGAAGACGGGCCAGGCGGAGACAGCAGGCAGGGAGCAGGAGGAAAGGAAAGGGAGGGAAGCAACGAGCAGAAGCCAAGGGATGGGGAGGAGGGGGAGGAGGACAAGGAGGAGAGAAAGCAGCGGCCGCAAGCAGACAGGCCGGGCCAGGGGCCGGGAAAGAAGAGCCGCCCGCGACGAGGCTGCGGACCCTACGGCGGCGACCTGGGCGGGGTGGCCGCCCGAACCCAGCGCGATGCGGCTTGGTGGGGATTGCCCTCTGCGGGATCCATCCACCGCCCCGCCGGGGAAAGGCCGGGCGGCGCGTGGGAGGGGTCGCCGGCGCGACGTTGGCGAAAGGGCGAGGGGGGCGCCCGCGCTGCCCAGCAAGGGCGGGGGGGGGGGGCGGGGGGCGCTAGGCAGCGCAGGGGGCACCTCACACGGCGTCTGCCGTGGAGGCCGCCGTGGCCGCGGCCAGGCGGGCCGCTGCCACCCCCGCCCCTCCAGACAGGGTCTGAAGGCGCCGCAACACCGCCCGCGCGTTCTCCCTGTGCAGGGAGACGGAAAGTCGCTGGGCATGTTGGTCCGCAACCAGTGCGGCGTCTTCCCCCGTGGCGTCAGCCACCCGCTTGGCCAGGACCCCGAAGGCCCTGCGTGCCTCGCGGCCCCACCCGCCGCCGTGGGCTTCCACCACCATGGGGAGGAAAGTGAAGCCCTGTGCCGCGCAGAGCCGCGCGGTGTCCTGGTGCTGCCTTTTGAACTCCTCGCACCGCTCCGTCGCTGCGCTTGACGAAGCGGCCGACGCGGCGAGGAGATCGGCGCGCAACCCTGACGCGGCGGCAAAGTCCCAGGCGGCCGCCGTGCCGTTGCGCCACCGCGGCAGGTAGACGTCGGCAGGGCGGCGGCCGTTGTCGTCCACCTGGGACCCGCCCTGCTCGCCCCCGGGGGTGGCCTCCCCGGCGGGGCGCGCGGGTAGCAGCCCCGGGCGCTCCAACTCCGCCCCGGCGTGGCCGGCGGCCAGGGCGTCGAAGAAGGCCTGGTTGCGCAGGGCGTTGTGGCGTTTGGTCCGGTCGCCGCGGCAGGCGCAGACCAGGGCGTGGTCGCAGAAAACGTCCATCACCTCGCCACAGGCTGGGCAGAAGCACTCCTCCTGCAGGAGCTGGACTCGCAGCCGCCTCTGCAGGCCGACCTGCATGAGGCCGCGCGGGAAGGCGGTGCCGGTGGCCTCGCAGGGCGGCGCCTGGAGCCACGCGGCCGCGCCTGGGGCTTGCACCAGAGAGAGGTGCGCCTTGCCGGCCAGGGTGGAGCCCGCCAGAAATCCGTCGAGCGAGGCGCTGTCCACCGCGTCGGAGAGGGCCTTCTGGTTGCCGTGCTGCGCGTGGTCGAACACCACCCGGTCGGCGCCCCGCACGACTTCGTTGTGGGCCTGCACCGCAGCCGCCAGGCTACCTCCGTCGCGGTCGGGGTTGTTAGAGTAGCCGGGGTAGAGCTGCCGACAGAGGTCGGTGCTCTTCGCTCTGGAAGCGATGTAGGCGGCGGCGGCGTGCTTCGCGGCAGAGCGCAGGCCAAGTCCTCCCTTCCTGAGCTTAAGCTGAGCCTGCTGCCAAGAAGCGTCGGAGGGCGAGCAGCCGCTCAGTTGCTCAAGGCAGGCCCGGACAGCGTCGTCCATGGCCAGCAGGGAGGCGGCGTGCGCGGTGGGCGGCACCACGCGCGAGGAGTAGCCCAGCTTGCAGAAGGAGGCGCACTGGCGCAGGAGGTGCAGCGCGACCTGCGCGTTTTCGAGCTCCCCCAGAGCTTCCAGCAAGTCGGTGGCGCTCGCGACCCGCTGCTTGGTGTTCTCCGCGCAGAAGTCCGCGTCTCCCACTGGCGCGCCGAGCAGCTCGAAGCTGCGATCGGTGCGGAGGCGGAAGCCCGGCGGGAAGCCCGGCGGGAAACCCTCAACATCATCATCATCATCATCATCATCATCATCATCATCATCATCATCATCATCATCATCATCATCATCATCATCATCATCATCATCATCATCATCATCATCATCTGCATCACGACCATCAACACCATCCTCATCAGTATCATCATCATTATCAGCATAATATTCTTCATCATCATCATCATCTTCATCACCATCATCGACCCATACTCATCACCACCATCAGCACCCAAGTGATATCCATCATAATCCAAGTGATATCCATCATAATCCAGATCCATACGCCCCCGAAACCCTAAGAATCTAAACCCCTATGATCTAGACTCCCGCGGAATGTTATTGATAAGGAGCAAGAGCCACGGGCCGTCCGCACTGTCGCAGCTGCCTGCGGTTCGAAAGGGCGGCGGCTCGGTGGAGCCGCCGCCGAAAGCTCAGCCACCGCCTCCCTCGCTGAATGCTCGCCGTCGTGAAAAGTACAGCCTCCAGGGGCCCTCGATTGGCCCTGGGACCGTCAAAGAACCGTTCTTTGACGTTCTGAACGACTCGGGAGGTCTCGAGAAAACCGCGACCGACGGCACAAAACAGGTGCTACACGTCAATGGCCGCTCAAAAATGCCAGAGCGCTGGCTACGGAAAACGACGTCAAAGGGTCAGGAACAGCATTGGAACATAGTTTGCTGGCGACGCACGCTGTCACCGCAAGTAGGAAGGAATGGCATGGAAAATGATGTCCAACTTCCCTCGAGACCCGTCTGAAAACAGACCGTGGTGAGGGACATATGGCCTAGCTGAGACGGTGGCTCCTCGGCTGAGGCCATGCAGCAGTCGCCGGCCCTGCGATCGCATAAAAAGAATGGGAGCCCTTGCTATGCCAAGCGAGTCCTGGACTTGCAATAGCTACACACTGCGTTGCCGTGCTTGCTACAGTCAAAACCCAATTTCACAGCTTAAGGCTCGGAGAGAGAGAGAGAGAGAGAGAGAGAGAGAGAGAAAAAAAAAAAGAGACAGCCAGAGAGAGAGAGAGAGAGAAAGAGAGAGAGACAGCTTAGCGCCTTGCTCGAATGCGAGATGTTATATAATTGTCGCGCCTTGCTCAAATGCGAAATGTTCCTTGTCAGGACGCGCACGCTCGGTGTGATTACCAGGGCGCCGCCCCTGACCAAAGTCAAAGCGGCAACAAAATGGGAGGCCTCATTAAAAAATTGCCTGGACGCGCACGCTTGGCGCGATTGCCAGGGCGCCCCCCTGACAAAAGCCAAAATGCGGCCCTCGACAGAAGAGCAGCCGCAGGCGAGGCGGGCCTCTCCCAGCGGGCAGGGCGAAACGGGAGGCAAGGACAGCGGGCAGCGGCATCGGCACCCCTTAGGGGAACGAAGAATGACACAAACATAACAACTCTGAGGTCCGCGCGGATTTCTCGGATCGGCGCTGGACCGCCCTGGCGGAGCCTCCGGCGCCGCCCCTGGCGCGCGGACCTCCAGGTTGTTATGTTTATGTCATTCTTGGTTCCCCTACCCCGTGCCCCTTGCCTCCACAGACTCTGCGTGCGCGTGGCCCGCGCTGAGGATGCCTTCCTCGGGCAGACCCGGAGCCCGCAGGCAGCCTCTGCCCTCGCCTGCGGCACTGGCCGCCTCCGCCGCTCGCCGCGCGGCGCCCGCGCGGGCAGACGCCTGCGGCGCGGCCCCCTGCTGCCTCGCCCTGCCGCGCGTCGCCCCGGCCACCCGAGGCCGGGCCTCAGGAGGGGCGACAAAGGGGGGAGGTCAACCCCCATGGGTTCCGAGTAGGGCGGGGTCGAAGGACCGCGCCGCGTCGCACGCATCGGGGGTGCATCCACGATGCACTGGCGACGTCGGCGGTGCATCGGCGACGCTGGCGTGGAGAAAATCGGGCTCCACATCGAGCCGCATCGGCAATGTGGCGCGATCCTCCGACCCCATCTGCTCGGACCCCATCTGGGAGCTCTGAGTTCCAGGCTTTAGCACGATTTCGCGAGTTCTCGGCTGCTTTCCAGCCTCGGGGTGGTCTTCCAGCACTTGCGCCTCGCCGAGAGCGCTTCTCGGGGGTGCCTGGATCGCCCCGAACGGCCGCCGAAGGCCCGAGTTGTGGCCCGAAAACACAGGGGACCAGCTTCTAGGGGGGAGCACCGACCTGGCATCGGCGATGCATCGCCGATGGATCGGCGATGGGCCCCGAACAGCTCGACGGGCACGTCCTGGGGCGGGGGCTGTCGAACCTCCATCGGCGATGAGATGGACGACCGAGGGGTCGATGCGCTCTCCCCTGCCTGATCCTCCCCCTGACCTCAGCTGAGAGCGGAGCGCGGGCGCCCGCGGCCCCTTGCCGACAGCGACCTCCGAGCGTTGGCGGGCCGCTCCCCTCGCGGGCGCGGGGGCTCCGCTGGCTCGCTGTGGAACTGGCGCGGCCCAGGATGGATCCCCACGGCGCTGCAGACCCGCCCGGGCACAGCGGAAACCCACGGAGGCCCGTCGGACATGCTGGCGGCTGCGTCGCGGCCGGCCGGCAGCATAGCGCCCAGCTCGGGCGGCGTGAGCAAATCGCCCACGCGCCGGCCCGAGGCGCGGTCGCCCGGGCGAGCCCCGACTTTCGCGCCAGAGCCCTGCAGCTCGGGAAGGTCGCCGAAGGTGTGCGGCTCGCCCACGCGCCGGCCCGAGGCGCGGTAGCCCGGGCCGGTTCTGACTTCCACGCCAGAGCCCTGCAGCTCGGGAAGGTCGCCGAAGGTGTGC